TACCCCTCAGGTAAACGAGTTTCTTGTGCAGGTGTGTGAGTGGGAGAGGTTGAGGATACCTACATAGGTATTGAAAGGCAAGCGAAGAGGTGGTGGTGGTGGTCGCAGGAGGTAATGGTGGATAAGTGGATTTATTATTTGAAGACGCGTGAGGCGCCAATCAAATGCACTGCCGGTCGGGGGAGCATGACAGTGGGTTTAGGTACCTATGTAGTGACCTGAAGTTAGGTATCTGTGGGCTGAGTGGGGCGGTCACGGAGAGAAAGATTTCCCGCAGCAAGATTGCAACCTGGAGATTCGAATTACTCCAACTGGATGCCGGGGCTGCGGGGCTGCGGGGCTGGAGGGTTTATCTTCCATGGTAATGCGCCACTGACGCCACAATTAGGAGGTCCGAGCACATGGAGATTCAATGCTACATAAATTCCATTGGTACATGTTGTGCATTGTGCCTATCGTGTGCAAGTACATACACCCCATTATTGATCACATCCACCAACGTCAATCGTCTCAACTTAGGATCGTTACCAGGTTTTGTTTTAACTACATGTATCACGAGCTAACTTTATACTAGTTTGGAACCACCTACTTTACTTGAACTCGCATAGACATACCTCCTACATATCACCACCAGCATCACTCATATACGTACATCTACCTAATGCACTATCGGATATCTTGGTTTGTAGATCGGCCTCTAGGTTGATGTCGATGGCAATACTTCTCTAATCGTACCGTAACTATTCGCTAGTGCGGGTAGAGGCGACCTCGTGGCGGCACACCGATGCAGCAAGGTCGAAGGCTGAAACGCTTCCCCGGTTTATCAAATTATCAATACCACCGGGTCATTAGACTAGGTATACATTTGATGGCTTGGTGATTGGCCTCGTTTTTGATCCGGACCATTCATTCTAGCTTGGTCGCCTACGATGTGGCCCGATTCTTCTACATGCGTCGGGTGCTTGCTGATGATCCTCGAGAGGAGAGACCGGCTAGATACCAAGCACCTAATGCCTCCAGCATTAAAGCATTATGGAGGCAATGTTAGGATAAATGCGCAAGACGCGGTATGCGATGCGGTATGCGATAAGTGTGTGCGTTATATGCGTTATATGGACGCGTGCGTGCGTAAATATGCACGTAGTCTCACTTACACGAGGAATGATAGAAGCGCGGGAACTATGGCTGCAGTCGCCACTTATGCGCCTTCGTCGCTCATCCGATGCAAATTTCAGTTAAAGATAGCGGTGATCGTCACGAAATCCAAGACATGAGCGAAACAAGTAAACATCGTCTTCTTCGATATCTCGAGATAGATACAACATCTAATTTGTGCGGCAACTATCTTAATTCTATGCTGTAGAGAGTCTAACCGGTGGCCGTTGCGCACCGTGCTATACGTCATGCTTCGTCCGAGTTTGCGCGTCGGCCGCCCCAACAGTGTCGGTCAATACAGCCTACTAGTGCTCACTCGTATCATGACCATAATGACATCTTGAGGACATAAATAAACGTTTAGGGCGGCCCCCAAGCACAAGTTTCCCGGTGGATGAGGTGGACGTCTCAAGTCCCATCCTCTTTTCCTATAACGTCGACCTGCATTTTTGCTATCCCGATTACCCATATGCTGGGCATCGAAATCCTACGAAATCCATCAGCTCTTTGGCCAAGACTGCTTCGCCGGAGAGTCTTTAACCTGACGAAATACGAGCCGGAGATACGGGTTTTCCCTGGCGAAGAACGGCTAGGGAAAAAGCAAACGAGAATAGTCACTAACTAGTATATCTGATATGTCACTTACCTAGGTAACTTAGTTTTCCAATAAGGCAAGCTGCTGATCACGGACGCTTCGGGACGTGCACGAGTGAGCTACACCCGTCTTACCACCCTTGTGTCCATTTACGGGTTACACCTCGTACCTATATCTTTAGCCTCACTCAGTCGACACAGCATCACCAGAACCATAGCCATTGCAAAATAAATTACATAGGGTGAGCAACCGTATCCGGTTTGAAGGAGTGTTTGTCACGATGGCTTATGCCGAGTTCATACATCTGACGCTTTAAGAGGTTTAGGAACAAGACTACATCGTTGCGTCATCTTTTAGATCAATCCTCGCTTTTCCCCAAGTTGCTTAAGGGCGATCCCATCTGCTTGGCACTTCGACTATCTCTGGTCTAACTTGGTTCAAATTGTCCGTGCTCGCGTTATACCGATTTTATTTTAGGTAGTTTATGCGCTTCACCGATCTTACGGTACTCCCCCCCAAACCCATCATCTATGGTTGACCTGATTCGAATTCGGACAAAGGTGTATTTGATACATACAAAAGCATTGACCCCGCGACATCTCATTTGCTAACCTCGAGCGTGGTAACCTTAAAAGCCTACTTTTCAGGTCTTGATTGATTGGGTGCCACGCGTCGGGTTTCAAGGCGAAAGGATCCATCATCAGCATATATGGGTTTCTTACCTTACCCATCATCTCATGCATACAAGTGGCTAGCCGTTCGCTCGCATTTACTTTTCTAGACTCGCTCTAAGTTGGTACCAGGACAGTGCTCACCGACTTTGAGATAACTATCCATTTTACCAGGGCACTGTGAGATTTACGGGCCTAAGGCACAATCTTAACCCACCCTTCAACTTTTTGGTTGGATGGGGATACAACTCCTCTTCTAACTACATACATACATTCGTACATCATCGTGAGACGCCGTGACGATCCAACTCACCGTTTCATTAACTGTGGATCAGTTCATGTCGCCATCCCTCATCTCGCAATAGAAAAGTCACGGGACCGGCAAAAGCCGGGTGAACGATTTTAATAATCTAGTCTCTTGTCTGTTTCTTTGCAACCCAACGGCGCTTCGAGTTCCTTGAACCAAGCTCGCGTACTTGAGTTGTTGGAAGTACCAATGAGACCCCCACACAAGGCCATCATCCCCCTGTAGACCTAGCCCAAAACTTCGCAAGTCCTGGACTTGTCTGACATTACCCTGGAGCCACTCTTCCGTCCCTAGATAGTGTCCCTAACGAAGGAATACGCGGAGACGCCGGCTTTATTTGTAACTACATCCAGTACTTACCACCGACATTGAAGAGAAACAGTGCCTTGCGTCGACCTGCATATGACTCTTATCTTCAACGGCAGGACGTTTACATATTTGGCAGCTACCCTAACTCCCAACTCCCCTCGTTAATTGCTACGTTAACTGCCTAGGCCTACCCTCTAGGTTCCAGGTTAACATAGCTCATATATACAGGGCGCAATAGTGAAAAGTAGAGGGAACGCGTGAGGGGAAGAGTTGACGCAACTTGACTGTGGCCTCGTGGCTGGTTAGAGTCATCCACCACCTTTTGAGATATACTAGACGGGCAGGCAGACGCAACTGCGGGTTCCTGGAAACACCTTACCTGATCCGGTTTCCCAGTGCCTCGTTACATTCCACACGGGTGGGTGTCTTGAACTGGGCCATCAGCTTACAAGTAAATGACCTCCCATTGGCATCGTCCGAGTCTTACGAATCATCAACGACTTTGATTCAGCCACTGAAGAACACCAGGATAGGAATCAGAAACCAAGCGTAACATTGATTTCATCATTAAAGCTCCGAGCCACTATCGTCACCATTGTCACATTTATCACAAATTCCCCGATTTTTCGGTTGTGATACTCTCATTTGACCGGCCAAGAAGTTTTTTGAAGAAACAAGAAACAAGAACAAGAACAAGAATCAGATAATCAAAAACTCTATCCGTATTCTTACCTCCGTGTCTCTTCCAGTCTGCCTCCTACCCAAGTACATATAAGTACCTCTACTCAATCCCAAAATACCGTATTAATACAATTCTTATCCTCGTCTACTTTATTTTTACTTTTATTTTTATCTTTTTTTTGCCCTTTCAATAAACCGAGGTCTTTCATCTTACACGGCTTACCCCCACATTTATATTCATAAAGTGAAGACCCCTCGAACCCCTCTTGTCCTCTTTCTATCACGGCGGATTCCCTTAAGTTTGCCCTGCGAACTACGCTGCGATCGCTCTCTCATTCCAATTAGAACCCGGTAAGCCACTGTAACCCCCCCTTCTCTTATCCCCCAGGTCCTGAGGTTCCATCTTCCTCAACTCCCGTCTAGCTTACCTAAACTTACCCTGTCACGGATTTACATATTGGGCTAATAATAATTAAAGCTCTCTTCTACATAGCTCCTCTCAACTTACAACTCGACTTTGCTTGCTTCCTCTATTGCTCGCCAAGTACCAAATCTAGCCTAACTTAACCTAACCGTATGTCAAGTTCCCAGCCCCAAAGTCCCACGTCTTAAGTCCCAAGTCCCAGTTCTTATTTCATTACCCCCCAGTCGGGATGTTCACCCCTCGTCGCTGTGCAGCTATTTGATTTGGCCGAATCTCTGCCGCCGCTAACCATCCTTCTTCTCTTTCTTATGATCTCTCTCTCTCTCTACATCCCCTCTCTCGTTCCATTCGAGAGTTTTCGCCTGAAGAAAACCAACAACTCACAATTCCTCTTCCTCCAGTAACCTTGAGACACACCACGCACATACGCATACATACGCACACATATACCCGGAGCTTCGGAATTCTCAAATCATCGCTTTCCAAGTTCAATTTCCCCTCTCCACCTAAATTTAACTTTTTATATTTTATTATTTTTCTGTTCCTGTACCTTGCACCATCGAAGTGGTATCCCGTCTGCATAACGGTATACGTGTAAGAGGTATGGTTAAACAAGACTTTCGTTTTTACATTGTTATTATCATCGTTGTCTTATCGCTTCTTTTAACCAACCAGTTTTATTCGTTATATATATATTTTTCCCTCATTTTTCTTTTTCGCCCCGTCTACCCGCATATCTTTTTTATCAAGCTATTAGAAACCAGCTACGTGCTCTGATAATAACAAATCGTCTAGCTGATATTAGCCCTGTCCCCGACTCGACCCCGGACTCGAGCAAGAGTGGAAGAGCAGCACGACACGACCCTGGGTTTAGACGACGATAAGGGGGCGTCAATGCTTGCTGCGACCAGGTTGTCGTCGACGCGCCCCTCCTAAATCCTCCCACGTCTCGCTACCACCGTCGCCGTTTATTTGCCTACCATTCTATCCATTACTGGTACTATTATCATCCATACTATTACTACTGCAACCTCTGCAACATCTGCAACCTCTTTCTCCCCTTCCCTTTCTTTTTTTCTTCCCGTCGCATTTAAATTCTCTACCCGATCGCAGCCACCGTTACTACCTCTAAAATGTCCGAATATCGTCATATGAGGTCCGGTAGCTTAAATATTCCATCCCAGATAAATACGATGAGTCCGATAGTTCCGTCACACGGTCGCTTCGATGGCCCGAGAAGTCCACCGAGTAAGTAATATCTATACTAAATAATTCATGCTTTATCCAACCTTCAAGTCGTTCCTTTCTGACCTCGGTATTCTCCAATCGCAGACACGTCGCACGTACCATGTAAATTCTTCCGACAAGGCGCATGTCAGGCTGGTTCCGCTTGTCCCTTCAGTCACGATCTCGGCACTGCTGCAGAAACGGTGTGCAAATACTTCGCCAAGGTAAGAATGATAAGTCGTCTCACAGAGTCTCACATGCAAGGTACTAGGACAAAAAGAAAGGCGACTAACGATCTGGTGAAACTATAGGGCAATTGCAAGTTCGGACCGAAGTGCGCTAATGTCCACGTCCTCGCCGACGGTAGACGAATCAATTACGGCAAAAATGGTATCACCATAGGCCAACCTCTTCACCTCGGTGGTCGAGTCAATCCAAGCTTCAACTCTTCCTCTAACAGCGCCTTAACGAACTCGTTCATGCGCGCCGACGCCAATCCATCATACGGAAACTCATACGGCTATCCAATGTCCCCGAGCGATACTTATCAACCCATTGACCGTCGACCGAGCTTAGAAAACGTGCCAACTATCGATACTACATATTCCCATACGAGCTCACAATATGGTTCGCCACGCGAAGAAGACCCGACTCGTCTTGGCTTAGGTCTTTCGCCCGTAGCTGCTAAGGGTTTATCCGTTCTTGACGCTCCTCTTCCCGCATCCTTCGATTCGAATGGAATCTCCAATGCCGCCAGATACCCCGGTGCGCCGTGGCCATCCTCGATGCCCTCGCAATTTGGACTTGATTCCCCCTCGCCATCCTTAAACGCAGCCAAGGATTCGAGAACTTCGGAAACCCTTAAGCTCCTACACCACTCGGCATTCGGTAGCAACGAGCATTTGTCTTCCGTTGCAGCCGGTTCCTCGCCCCCGACCCAACCATCCGACGAATATTTTGGCAGACGTCAGATGCACTCGAGCCGCTACGCCAAGCCTAAGATGCTTAGCAGCAGCGCGCCGCGCGCCATCGCCGGTGCTATCGACCGAGATTGGGAGTCGGAGTTTCCCTTTCTGGAGGAGGATTATTTGCCTGACAATCTGAAAGACTTGTTAACGCCAGCGGAGAAAGCACGGCGCGGTTCGCGAGCAGCCGATGAAGAATCCAACGGCCATAGGGGAAACGGTAATTCGCCTAGCATCCCCGGGATGAGTGGCACGGGGACACCCAACGGCGAGGTAAGCTCCAAATTCGGTAGCCCAATGGCATCGAGTCCAAGTCGGTGGGGACCGTTATTCCAACGACAGCACGAGGAACACGAGGCGAAGAAACATGCAGCAGCAGCTAGCGCAGGTGTATTTGGACACGTCGGAAGTCCTCTTCGCCAATCCAGCCTCAGTGCCAACGTTGTGCGACCACACAATTCGAGCCGGTCCAGTAGCATCGAGGGTCTAAGTGCCTTGTCTCAGCAGCTGCAACGCACACGCATCGACAGCAACGGAGGCGAATCACCGCTGTTGCATCCCAATTCGCATACGTCGCGACCATCAAACGGACGAGCCGGCGAACGCCACGTCAGCAGTGGCTCCATCAGTTCTAGCGCCCGGTATACCACTCCTATAGGGGAAGAGGACGGCGAATTCGTATTTAGCATGGACGAGGACGGCGATCGAGACAGCACTATAAGGGCACGGAAGCGAATGTCCGGTGTAGGCACCGCTATGAGCGTCTGGAGTTCTAGCTACGCTGGCGTTGCTGCAGGACCCGGGAAGAAGGACGATGGTGCCGCGAGAGTGGTCGAAGGGGTCGGCGGCCGGTGAGCGATGCTAGGCCTAGGAGGACCGACCAGGATATAATGACGCATCGTCGCGTGGGGCATTAACAACGCCTAAGGAGGATGCTCGGTCCTTATACGAAAGCATTTCAAAGCATGCGTATTCGAGATGCACATATTGAGACATCCTATTGTCCGAGTCACGAAGTCACGAATCATAAAGCGCCCAGAAGCTGGCTATAAAGCATGGAGAGTATTATATAAGGGCGCTACGACAGGTCCTGTCCATATCGGGGAAGATATTGAAGTATGAAAAGGAAGACTGTTGCATAGTTAGCAGGCGGGCATAGAGACGGCGGACTCCTGCTACTCATTGTTTAACTTTTTCTCACGGCATCCAGGTTGGCAAAACTGACACCCCGACGAGATTGCGGGTTTTTTAAGAGACTATCTATAGGAGATGCGATCAGGGGGCCGGAGTTGGTTGGGCAAAAAAATATCATATTACCACATGAACTTTTTTATATTTCTCTCCCTTGTTTATAACCCTTTTGAACCGGTCTTCATCTTGCGGCACAGGGGTCTGTACTTATTACATTCTTGGAGATATCCTGGGGTTATTGGCATTCACTTTTTTTTTTCCTCTCTACATCTCATCCGATTTGTTACATACAACATCTAGCTATTTTACGCTTAACATGTAATTGGGATTTAGTCATTTGGTTGGAATGGGAACACGGAGGTAGACATAGGCGGTCATATACACGAAAAAAATTCTTTTTTCGATTGGATTAGAACAGGACCATGCTGCCACATTCATACATTCTTCCATTCTTACATACTCCTTTCTATATAGGTATATATAACTTGGCTAGCCAAAATATTGTGGAGAGCTTCTAGGGTAGATAGGTGCATAGTAATAGCACAAAGGGAGATATGTAAATGCAAGGATGTGTATTACTCCCTCCACCAAATTAGCTAGATAGTTCATAAAGTCGTCCGTGTGTAGAAGCCGAATTTGCTTCATTCACATCGTCGATCATTCGCTTACAAAAAGCCTCGGCTGCCTACATTACACGAGGGTAGGTCACTCGACAGGTAGAAACTAGGTAAAAGGGCGATTGTAGCCTAGGATAAGTTAAGCCTAGGTGGTGAGGCAACTCGCCGACCATTTTAAGTTATTAAGTCAATGAGTGAGTTGACGAGTGCCCTGTCCGACTTTCGGTATGCAAACAAAGAGGCAGGAATACAAATAGGCAGACAGGTAGATAATTACCGAGGTACCTAATTAATTAGGGGGTAGGTAGGAAGGTAAGGGAGATGGGTAGATAGGCAGATATGTCGATTGTCCCCCCATATAGTCTCCAAGCCAGATGACTCCTAACCGTATGCCAAATCATAGGGCTGAAGGATTAGACATCCTGGTCAGCTAACCTACCTCTTACATTCACCTTTTAATCCGGGCGACTTTCGCCATCGAGGCGTTTTGCTTGCGAACCCAGGGATGACTTATACGCAGGTACAGCCGGTGATATAGATGGAGCTCTCATATGTAGTCCAATATGAGTCGCCCGATTATCAGGTAATACTACATAAGCAGCAGGTACTTATATGAATAGAAAACCCTGTGCAACTCGAATAGGCAGCCTCGGCGCAGATGCGCAGAGGGTTTCTGACGCGGCCTCTTCGTGTACAAATTGAGTTGGTGCGCATTTGCGACTACATCTCAAGAGCAACAAACGGAAATCTACGAAAGGTTACTATACAAATAATATGCAGTGGATCGTGACTCGGGGGTAGTCGAGACACTGATATTCAGACATCATTGACCAGGCATACTTATGAAGAAGGCTGTAGATTGTCCTCTGTTTACGCCCTTTCTAAGGCGGCGTAACGTTTCGTTAACTAATGAGATCTAATAAAGAAACTACCTAGCCTACTGAGATTTACTGTTCAACTATCTGCCTACGAGGCTTGGAATTAGAGGTTACCACCTAGTATCTATACTTCGTTCGGGTCGACCCTTTGTAAAATGCATATTCGTCGTGTATCCAACGTTTCGGTCATAGTTCATATTGTAATAGCTGTTGTGAATCCAATCTAGGACTTAAATAGAACTAAAACTTACGTAGGTGATAGAGCGCCCTTGGGGACCTCGGTATCCGTGGGCGCTTTATATCTAGGTAATCAGGGACTCAATCTCGCTATTACGCCTCACCTGCACTGCGATCAACGGAGTTCTTCTAAGTAACCGATCATATTATATCAAAAGCTTACCGGTAGGGTTGTTGCAGCTCCATGCCATGCTCACGATCAAGGCTATGAGTTGAAGACTTTTCTACGGAGGGACTTAACTCAGCCCCAACCCAAATACGATAAAGTCCTACGCCAGATTAACCAGTTGCCCTAGTAGAATGATTCTCTCTGCTTGGAGTGTACTCAATTTCACTTGAACCCATAGAACAAGGCTGTCTGGAGTACTCACACCCACTACTATTAAGGTGATTGGTTTACACCGAACTTTGCGTTGTTTCATATAAGCAGTCAATCATTGTAAATAATAGTATTAGCAGGTTTTCAATAATAAATAGACAAGCATATACCAAGCAAGCGACGTCAAAGATTTCAATCCTAATGTAGATGAAAACGCGTACTGAGGCGCGTATAAGTCAACCAAGGTCCAACACTTGGGCACTCCCCTCCAATCGAACTCGGTGTCGCACAAAACTGTCGTGTATCCCGACAGCCTGGGATCCAATAACCCGCTCGGCCCGGCTCGCCAGCGATCTGCCAGTCTGGTGATCCAAGATTATAAACAGTTATATAACTCCATATATATATATGACCATATGTAATAAAGGCTGTAAAAGGCTTGGAATATAATTAAGATTATTAATAATTTTTTAAGGTTTTAAGGTTTTTAATTCTTTTTTTTTTTAAAAAAAAATTTTTAATTTATTTATAAATAATTTAAAGTATATATTTTTTGGTTTAATTAAATTTTTATTAATATATTAATTTTATTTATATATAATTATATAGTTTTATAATATTTTTTATTTAATAAATTTTAAAATAATTATTTTATATTTTTTATTAATTGTTTTTTTTAATTAATAATTTTTTAATATTATTATTTATATAATATTATTTTTTTTTTTAAGTTTATTTTTAAGTTAAAGTTTTAAATAAAAGGTATAATTTTTTTTGGTAAAATTTAAAAATTTATTGGTTTTTTTAAGTTTTATTAATAAAATATTAAAATTATTTATTTAATGTTTTTATTATTAAAGTAATTAAAAAGTTTTTAAATTTAATATTTTTTAATTAGTTAATTTTTTTATTTAATTAAATATTTTATATTTTTTTAAATTTATATAAAGTTTTTAATTTTATTTATATAATATTTTTTAAATTTTATTAAAGTTATTTTTTATAAAATTTAATTAAGATTAAATAATGTTTAATTATTAATATAATAAAGTTTAATAAATAAAATATAAAACAAGTTGTAAATTTTTTATTTTTTAAATAAATAAAGTTTAATAATAATAAAAAAAATTATTTTTTAGATTTTAAAAAAGCTTAATATTTTTTTATTTAATTTTTTAATAAGTTATTTTATTTTAATATTTTTATTATTTAATATAATTAATTAATTTTTTTAAAATTTTAATATTTTTTTTTTTATTAGTTTAATTTTTTATATATTAACGATTTTTTTTTAAATGTTATTATATTTTGGTATAAATTTATTTTATTTAATGTATATATAATTAATTATTTAAATTTTAAAAAATGCCGGTAAATAAATTATAAATTATAAAATAAAAATTATAATTTATATAAAACGATATTATATATAATAATATTAATTTTAAATTATTATATATAAATTTTATTGTTAATAATAAATTTTTTTAATTAATTATTTTATAATTAATAAATATTTAAAAGTAAATTTTAAAAATTTAATTAAATTATTTTATTTAATTATTAATTTAAAAATAAAAAATTATATTTATTTATAATTTAATATTTATAAATTTAAA